CTATATTTTCTTCATTTTACAACATGTAAAGGCCCTGTAAAGTGTAAACATATGACATATGTTCCCAAACTGGCAGATCGGAATGCTATATTTTGGTTTGATACGAAGATAAAATAGTAAATACTCAAAATAATTACAACATGTTCATGACCGCTCACTCGTTAGCAATATTGTCTTCAATACTCGAAATAAATTACATATTTCCACACAACCATGCATTAATATTCTCTATATATTCCAATTTACCTTTAATTTGTCAAGTGGTAGGCTAGTATTAGTCCTTTTGATTTGTTATTGTCTTCACTCAACACGGAAGTGATAGGAACTTGAGAAAATGACAGTTGCAACTTGCGTGTTTCGATTGCAATTTGCTCGGAGAAATATTTGCCAATCAACATTGCAAGATTGATTGCAATGTTAAATACTCATGGGAACAGAACAAGCAGTTTGACTGTAATACTCAATGTCACTTCCAGTAACTTTTAATGTTAAGCAGCCATGAAGATAAAGTTTTTTTCTAAGAAAATAACTTGCGTTTTAAAATACACTGAATATCACAAATATGTAAAATTCCTAATTGTTACATGTTGTACTTTAAATTGACTGCATGCATGTACTAAAACTTTACTTTGCCAACTTTGAATTTTTGTAAGTGAAAGAGTACGAAAGTTATTGCTTTGATTTTTATATATTATGTATTCATTGATGTTTTGGTGGCCCCTCCTCAAAATTTAATTTTCCTGAGGTGAATCGTCAACGTCAATCTTAAAGGCTGAAATAAAACGTATTGAACCGTGATTGAACGAAACGCGATCCAAATGATAATTTAATTTGTTTGGGATCAGACTAGCCGTAACTCATTTACATCTTTCAAACGTTGGGGCTTAACTCAAAGAACAAAATGTTTGACTTTGCTCGAGTTAAGCTCCTATTTTCTAGAAGGCTTAACTCGAAGTACCTAACTCAGTTATATACTTCTAGTTAAGCCCTCAACGGTAATGGGCGTGACATAGGCGTCGTCGGGGCTTAACTAGAAAGGTCGTGGTCCGGGCTTAACTCGAAGGGCTTAACTCGAAGATTTGCTACCCCAAAGTTTAGGTCTGCTGCCTTGCTCGGTCGCTTAAGGCAATCAGGCGACTCGCTGTGGCAGCAATAACCCTTAATTTAAACTGATGTTGTAAAGTTGTTCTGCGCAGGCCTACATTGGAATGTTGGATGGACCGAATCTCTAGTCTGTATTTATTTACAAGCTAACGAACCAGAAGAGTGTTAAAAATGCAGTATAATATATATCTAATATTTTACAACTGTAGGACTGAGCTGAAAATGTGAACAAAGCGTTTGTTTATATACATTACAGACTTTACAGCATCTTTATTAATAAGTGGCAATGTGCCTTACTTTGTTATTTTACTTTGTTTAATTAACACCCAACGGTTTTACTCGCCAAGGGGAGAGTGCTGGCCAGTACTTTTAAAATAAGTTAATCCCAATCCATGCTTCTGAAAGTCTTGAATTCCACTTCAACATTTGGCAGCCATGACTTGCCACCTTGCAAAAAGCTTGCAAAAAGCAGTATAGAGACATTCCTTTATGTCAAATAGAGAAAATATAAAATGAATAGAAAAACTGTTTAAAAAGTTTCCTGCTGCAATTTTAATAATCAACTCAGCCTTTGTAAATTCTATATCATATGTTCATTTTATAGTTCTAATTTTCTCTTACTTCTGCCCATTAGACAGTGACAGTGAAAATTTTCAATTTGATGTAATTGATGAACAATATCCAGTACAGGTAATGTTACAATTAATGGAATTTGAGCAAATAAGTATAAGTGGTGAATGTGCTAGTCATACTTGCCGACAAGGAGGGCACAATTCAACCTGGTTGGGTTGAAAGCATAGACGGATTTTCATATTTTGCTCTGGGTGGGTGCCAAACATTTAGGGGGGAGGTGAGTGACGGGGCACACAGTGCTGCCGAACAAGCTGCAGCAGGGGCCTGGGGCACAGTTACTAGTGGGGGTAAGGGGGCAAAGCCCCCAGGAAATTTTGAGTCTTATGTACATAGTTCAAAATCTTTATTTTAATCACACTATACTGTCATTTATCCCAATGAGCATTTAATTTTTTTTGGGGGGAGATGGTGCAAATTTCTCTAGGTAGGGTGGAAAAACTTTTTTGGGGGGTGCAAAATATTTTGGGGGGTGCACACCCCATGGTCGGAAGTGCCTTATGCCCAGGCTTTGGTGGTTCAAATCTTCAGAGCAATGCTTTTCTTTTCTAAGATTGTGGATTTGACTCCTCACTCCTGCTGCGTACTCATCACACTTATGTGAAAAGAGTTTAGTAAAGGATCCATGATCAGCCATTAAATAATGGATCTTGGAATTGCGGGGGGGGGGACTGCCAGTATCAACCATACTGCACTTTGTCCCATTTTATTTGATTGCAGGGAGAAAGACATTCACCATTTACTTTAGATGATGATGGTCAACTCTCTGCTGATATCCCACGTAATAATAGGTAATTATGCTTATTCACATATTATCCCACAGGTCTGCACATTTTCAATAGGAAAATAACTTTTTGCTTTATTGTTTCTTATAATCGTGTTATTATAGGTCTCCTAAATCGATTCTTTCGCGACAAGGAAGTACTGACCACAGCCGTTTTGAACAAATTTTGGTAACAAACTAATGCTAATATTTTATTTAGAATATTTTAACTATTTATTAGACAATTTATAGAACTGTGTATTACTGTTGGTTTCTCAGTAAGCATTTCAGGACATATATCAAATGGTGCCGTCAGGGTCGCCGAAAGGTTGGCGGGGGCCCGGGGCAAATTTTTTTTTAGGGGCCCCTATCTAAAAATTTTTTTCCAGAGAACAACCTCCCCCCTCCATCCCCCCCCCCGTCGCCAAAAAATTTTCGGTCAGTGTACCATTTTAGGGGTCAAAAATTTTTTCCAGAGTACAAAATTTTTCCGGACGAGTACGTTGCAATTGCTTTCGAGGGACTTTATCTCATTTTTTCATGCCAAAATTCGGTACTTAGCCCAAAAAAACAGATCTCTTGTCCTTTGCGCGGAAATATTATTTAACACACAAAAAAGGCTGGGGCCCAACAAAAATTTTTCAGGGGCCCCCAGCAACTTGGGGCCCGGGGCAATTTGCCCCCCTGCCCCCCCCCCCTCTCTGCGGCCCTGGGTGCCGTCAATTTCAGAAATGTTGACTGTCGAAACATATAGTAAGATTCAACAAGCAAATTTAAACAAAATCTTTTTCTGTTATAAATATGGATGAATGTTCATTATTTAATAGTCCCATCCGATTTTTTTTTGCACATTGTTTGGAAAGATGATGTGCAGTTTTCACTGTTTGGTCCATGCAGAATGGTGTGCACATTGCACATGCACTGTTAATTTGAACCCGGCCTGCATATAATGAAAGTAATTGACAATATTTTCTCACTATGATAACAGCCAGTTGACCAACATTTATGCTGATAGTGACACCACCTATTTTAAGTTATCTCCATATAAAATTTTAGAGAGGAACAAAGAATTATGATAAAATATCAGACATACCATATCATGTTCGAGAGGAGGTGAAAGACTCCCTTAATACAATAAAAGAAAGCCGAAATGACTGGCGTGGTGTGGCTTCAAGGATGGGTGTAGAATCATTAACCATAGAAAAAATTAAAAAAGATTTTAAAGAAGATCCAACTCACAAGGTTTTCGAAGAGCTCTCCAACCACAAAATCACGAAACTTCTTCAAGTTTTATATGAAATGGAATGTCATGATGTGTTAAACATTTTCTATGATAATTTTTGTATTAACATATCAGGTAGTTTGTTGTTATGTAAAAACTTTCCAAAACCTCTGACTCTAATAAGGACATCTCTTTAGCATGAACACCACTCTTACAAGACTATTATAATTAATATCTTTTTGTGCCTGCGAGCAAAATTCAAAATGTGCCTGCAAATTGCATCTTATTTAAATTATGTGACCTAAATAGGTAACTTAAAAAGTCAGAATCTTAAAATGTGCTGACCTGCGAAAATTCAAAAGGTGGCTGTGAGTGGCGCTCCCATGCTTGTGCATTTTAATGATACATGCTTTCTAATACATCTCTCCAATATAGACATCTTTCCGATACAGACACCTCTCTAATAAAGACAGATATCTTTCTAATACATACATCTCTCCAATACAGACATTCTTCTAAATAAATACAGACATCTTTCTAATACACATGCTCATCTCTCTAATACAGGCATCTCTCGAATACAGACACCTTTCTAATATAGACATCTTTCTAATATGAGATCTCGAATCCGACATTTCTCTAATATATAGACATCTCCCCAATACGAGCACCTTTTTAATATGGATACTTTGCTTTGTTTCTTCTGTGTTTGTATTAAAGAGGTTCAACTGTAGGTTATGACGAAACTTTCAGCATGCATTATAGTCATCTGCTAGGTTATACTTACTGCCCCAGGTTAATAATTATAGGAACAAGCAAATTGACTGCATTTCTCAATTTCATTTATCATCAAATACAAGATTATATACATTCTATAACAAAACAAATTAACAGTATTTCAACACTATGTTGTGTGCTAGTGCTGAAATTCACCTCAAAATTTATAAACTGTTAAGGATGGGTTATTTTTGTATTTGTAGATACTGGAGCAGGTGTAGGCATAAATAGAGAAAAATATCAAGTCTCAAAATCCCACAGCCACGAACCAACTCCTGATAGTGGTATTTCATCTGCTGTTAGCTGGTATTGAAGATTTCTGGATTTATTTTTAGTGATCCATAAGGAATTTAGCTAACCATGCCTATAGGCATATAGTAATTGATTATTGTTGCTCTCTATGAAACACACTGAAAATTGAATGACTTATTTTACGTTTTCTACAGTGAATTCAATACGAGTCCCTTCAATACACAGAAAGGTAATATACAATCATTGTTTAAGTTATTCTAAAATTGCATGGACAGTCCATGTATATATATTTAGCCATTAATCGTAACTTTTCTACTCAGATCCTGGGATGCCCGAAAATGTAGAGGTAAGGAGCTCGTATATGAAATAATTAGGCTTTATAGTTTTTAGCAAAAATTAAATAATGCCTGCTTAGTTTTAGACGACCGGCCAACTCTCTGAAAATTGCACTCCGATTGCATTTTTTGTTACAAGCTGCCAACTGAGAAATTTATTGTAGTTTAAACATTGGTGAACAAGACTATATATGATGGCACCTCTGATTTTGGCTGTATACAATTATAGACAAAAATTTGAGAATTTTATAATTTTGCCTGATAAATTTCTATATGTTGACTAAAAATGCAAAATTTCTAGTTTACTTTTAACAAAAATAATCTGTACCATTAGAAAGTTTGCAGAAAAGTATATACATATTATAATGATTGACCGATAATCGGCATCAGGCCGATTTTTGCTTATCAGTAGACAATCGGAGTCGGTAGAATTATCTGTATTTCCGATTGTGTAAAACCGATTGTTGAGAAAATACACTATATAAAAATTATATGCATTGCACGTTGATCACGTTGCGCTTTAACGGCATATGTTAAATTAATGCGTAAAGCGTGTAAATTTTGTAATGGTTTTAACGATCTTTGGTTGCAGTAACATGTTAAGTTGGAAATTATCGTTAAAAAATCGACATGAAATAACGTTACCTTCACTCGGTCGACCGATATTATGACGTCATAAAATCGGTATCGGGTTAGATTTGTCCGATTGTTGCACAATCGGTCAATCACCAATATATTATAAGACAGTTAAGCATGTATTGCGAATTTTTAAGCCGGTTTAGAGTTGAAGGAGCTTAAAGTTGGAAAAATAGGAACTATACAGATTACAGTATTAACGTATAAATCAGTGCATTTTCTTCATTTTTGAGCGTTAAAAAGTAAAAACTTGAAATCAGCAAAGAAAATCATTTTCTCGATCGCTTAAATGTCTTATACATACTTTGTTGCAAACTTTCTAATGGTACAGTTTATATATGTTTGTTAAAAGTGAACTTGAAATTTTGCATTTTTGTCAACGTAGTACTTTAATAGTCAAAATTCTCAAATCATAGTTGCCAACATATATAGTCTTGTTCATTAATGTCTATACTCTATGAGAATGTCAGTTGGCAAATTGTAAATTTTCAGATTTTGGCCAGCCGTTTATTCGGTCTTAATTTTCTTACCTAGCTTACCTACATACCTCACTATCTACCTCACCTACTTCTATCTATACCAATTATGACTGGGAAAGTTTTCTTTTCATTTTTTAGAGTACGACTGCCTCACAATCACCACACTCCAGGTAATTTCTTTTTCATATTTTATATATATATATATATATATTAGCGACAATTACATATACTAAATTAGCATTTTACTTTATCTTTTAGACCTAAGGCTGGTTTTGGGGCTAAACAGAACACAGACGAGGATTTTGGTTAGCAATTTATGCACTTATGATTAATATGATAATTTAACATTCAATCTATCTGTTTCAATTACTACTTATGCATATAAAACAGTATAGAAAAAGCGCGACTCATTTTTAGAATACCAGGTATTGACAATTTAATTAATATGCACACTGTTGCACTGGAAAAAAAAGTGAAATCCATACTACTAAATTTGCACCACTAAATCCATAGTATATGCATCCTATTTCCATACTATATCCACACTATGGAAATATACAATTATTATGGATAACCAAAATCCATTCTATTTCCAATAAAGGTCCATACAATTTCCACTCTATAACCTTCTATGGATTTTCAAACTTTTTTCCAGTGTTGTTGAATTTACCTAGACTATTTCCAATTCTGACAAAATAGTAAAATCGAGACAAAATTATTAACTTGAAGGGGACATTTCAACACATCTCAAAATCATTTTGATTTTAATGTGAAGACAGAAGAATAGACAGTATATTTGTACATGAATATATATATATATATATACATTAGTGTACACATAAAATATATACATCTACTTTATTGTACATACTCTATATATGCCAAACTTGGAATGATTAGTAGATAACCAACTTTTACCATTTCTTTAGTCTCGGATGAAATTTTTGATGGATTTATTTGTTATGCGAAAGAAGACAGACGCTTTGCGTATGAGATACTCGCGCGTTTGGAAGCTCCTCCGTATTGTCGTAAAATTTGTATCGACTTCCGTGACTGCGTACCAGGAGATTGTCGATTGGATCAAACAGTCAAAATAATAGAACATCGATGTAAACATATGGTTGTTATTTTGTCACCAAATTTTACAAGTTCTTCAAATACTGGTTTCCAAGTCAGGATCGCGTTGAATTTATCTCCAGGCAAGTCTGACGTACAGCATTAAGAAATTATGATAATATTTTAATAATTATATCTATGCTGTATTAACTCTGTAACTGAGTATTAAGAGTGACCGAGGTTCTCTTTGTATGAACTCTTGCAACAACAATTGAAATATATCAACGCATTTTCGAAAGCCGTGGGAACGAGGTTGTATCAACGTTTATCAACGCAAGTCCAGAGCCAGGGACGTCGTGAAGACATCAACATTGGGGGGGGGGGGGGG